CGGCGGCCGCGCCACGACGGCCTGGGCGCCCCCGCCGAGCCCTATTACGGCGGGCGGGTGGCGGACGGCAGCCCCGGCAGCCCCTACGGCGGCGGCGGCGGCTTCCCCTTCGGCGAGGCGCCGCTGGGCGCCGACGAGTGCGACTTCGCCTTCGACTTCCTTGCCCTCGACCTGACGGCGCCCGCTGCCATCTGGGCGCCCCTGGAGCGCGCGGGGGCCCCGCAGCGCCGCGGCAGCGGCCCCGGCTCCCCGCGCCACTCGCCGCCACCGCCGCCCGAGGGGCCGGAGGCGGCGCCGGGCCGGCGCGCGCCCAGCGAGCCCCTGAGCGCCCTGCCCTGGCTGCCCGCCCAGGGCTCCCTCTCGTCCTTCTCCACCAGCACGGGCTACTCGTCGTCCTCCTCGCTGCCCGGCAGCGTCTCGGCCGCCTCGGGCTCGCCCACCGACTCGAGCGGCTCGGAGGCGCCGCGGCGCAGCTCGCGCGAGTGCATGGTGTGCTTCGAGGGCGAGGTGATGGCCGCGCTGGTGCCCTGCGGCCACAACCTCTTCTGCATGGAGTGCGCCGTGCGCATCTGCGGCCGCGCCGAGCCGCAGTGCCCCGCGTGCCACGCGCCCGCCACCCAGGCCATCCACATCTTGTCCTAGGCGCCCGCCCCGCGCGGCTCCGCAAGGAACGGCAACGGGCCGGAGCCGCCGCGGGAACCGCGGGGCGGGAGCGGGACGGAAAGGAAACCCCGGACTCGAATTCCCGCCGGATCGAAGGCCGGGGGAGCAGCGGGAGGGACGCAGAGAGCTCGGGAGGGCTGGGAGACGCAGGGACCCCCGCCGAGGACAAGGGCACCACGTAGCAGACAGGAGCAGGAGGACGATGATTAAAAATCAAATGTTTACAGAATAGCTTTAACTCTTAACCCGGCTGTGGCGGCTGGGGGGAGGAAGCCCAGCTGTTCTTCAACAGTCCTTTCCAAATAACAGTATTCAGTTTGCAAAGTTAAATAAACAGAAAGAAAAGGTCCGGTTGCACTTTTTATTTTAGGACACGCAAGGGTTGTCGTTTTATTTTTTTAAAAGCATTCTCTTATTATAATTTTTTTTTTTTTTATTTTTTTGTCGTCCTTTTTGTATGTAGCTATTTTTTTGGATGAGTCTCGATGGTTCTATAATATATACATATATATATATATTTTTTTTTTGTAACGCAGGTCTAGCTTCTATTTTGCCAATGTGAAAACTGCTCAAAACGTGATGAGAAAGGACAAGGGGTCTTGGCCGGAGGGGTCGGGGTGCCCGGGGGACAGGACGGGGCGCGACGAACCCGTCACATCGCAAAAAACAAACCCAACAGAATTTCTATCTCCTTTTTATTTTGTGGTCGTTTTCTTTTTATTAGTTTTATTTTTTTATTTTTTACCTCTTTATGTATATGTAGGGAATTTATAGGAAAATATGTACTTTATTGAATAAATTTTAAAAACTAAAATATATTTTATTTTAAAAAGAAAATAACGGACCTTTAACCTTACATGGCTAAAGTACTGATTATATATTTGCTGAGCTGACTTGACGGTTATGAAAATTGTATCAAGAGTTTTATTTTTTGACTTCAAAGCCTTCTTAATAAAGACTTTTTACTATATACGAACCCGCGGGCTGTGTCCGGTGTGTGCGGCCTGCGGCGCTGGCCTCGGCTCCCGCTGCTCCTGCAAGGGGTCTCGGAAGAGGGGCGGCCCCTGCCCACACATCTCCCCCGCATCCCCCTTGTACTCCCTGCATCCCGCCCGTATCCTTCCTCACATCCCCTTTGTACCCCCTGCGTCCTGCCCATATCCCCCTGCATCCCAGCCGTATCCCTCCCTGCATCCTGCCCATATCCCCCTGCATCCCACCCGTATCCCTCCCCACATCCCCCTTGTACTCCCTGCATCCCGCCCATATCCYCCTGCATCCCACCCGTATCCCTCCCCACATCCCCCTTGTACTCCCTACATCCCGCCCGTGTCTCCCAAATCCCCCCTGCATCCCCCTTATATCCCTCTGCATCCCACCTGTATCCCCCAAATCCCCCTGCATCCCACCTGTATCACTCCCCACATCCCCCTTGTATCCCTCTGCATCCCACCCGTATCCCTCTGAATCCTCCCTGCATCCCACCCATATCCCCCCTCTATCCCCCCTGTATCCCTCTGCACCCCCTCCACGTGCCCCCTGCATCCCACCCATATCCCCCCTCTATCCCCACCGCATCTCCTGGGTGCTGCCCTGGACGCAGGGGAGCGGGGGGCTGCACGGGGTGCTCGGGGTGCCCTGGGGCTTGGAGGGCAGCCTGGGGGTGTAACCGGCCCTCGGGGTGCTGGGGGCTTAGGGTGCCCTGAGCGGGGATGGGGGGTGCTCGGGAAGGGGCCAGCCCGGGGGTCAGGGTGTCCGGAGCTTGGGTGTCCCAGACAGGGGAGCTCAGGGTGCCTGGTGGGGGGGTGTCCACATGGGACCAGGCTTAGGGCGCCCTGGATAAGGGGYTCAGGGTGCCCCATTTTGGGGGGGTCTCAGCTGGGCTCAGCCCCCAAGGGTCCCGCGGCCGGGAGCGGCACCGGCGGCCGCGCGGGGGGACAACCCAAGCGTCCTGCCCCCCCCCCCGCCCCCGCTGCACCTAATTAACGGCAATTAGCGGCAATCAGCGGCAGCGCCGATAAGGGACCCCGGGGGGCAGCGGCCCGGGAGGCAGGGGCGGCTCCGGGGGGCTCTGCCATGGCCGCGGCGGAGCTGTACGGGCAGGTGAGTGGGTCGGGGGGACAGGGGGGCTCCGGCCCGGCCGGGCTCCCTCGGGGCCTTGGGTCAGGGAGGTCCTTGGGGTTCCTGCTGAGGCTGGAGCCCGCTCTGTCCCGGGGGGGTCTCTCTCTTGGGTGGTGGGTGCTGTGCAAGGTGTGACACCCACCAGTGCTGCTGGGCAGCCCCTGCTGYGGCTCCTGTGGGTGCCCTGGCTGTGCTGGGGGGGCATCACTCCTCCATGGGGGTCTCCAAAGCCCCATGTGTGGGGGAGCAGCCTTCCGTGCAAAGCCCCTGCCTGCCTTGGTGGCACCTGAAGCTCCTGCAAGGAGCCCTGCGGCGGCTGCCTGGAGTTTCCCAAGTCCAGCCCTTGGGCTGGGGGCTCCCTTGCTGCCTGGGAGCCCCCRGCCTCCTTGGGGAGAGGTGGTGGCTGGAGCCGGGTGCCCAGCAYGAGCTGCTTGCTGGGGATGCTGCTGCTGGTGCCTCAGCACTTTGCTGCAGATTGGGCAATTTTCATTCCCCCCAGCGGCTGGGACTTAAATGAGGCCGGTTTCCTGCTGCCTTGGTTGACTCCCTGCAACCTGATACCTGATCCTGCTCCTTCTCATTTTTTATTTTTTTAAATGCTGAGTCTCCTAATGACTTCTTGGCTGCAAGCCCCGTGCATGGCCCCTTCCTTCCTTGCTAGACTCGCAGACTGTTCAGCRCTTGTTTTATCAACGTTACTGATGCATTAGCACATGTGCCTTGCACGCTGCGGCCCGGGAGCCTTCAGTGCCGGCCGAGCAGCTGGGATTTGCAAAATCAGCAAAACAGGGTGTTTTTTGTAGCCCCTGTTTCTAGCGAGAGGCCAGCAGTGCTGGCTGGGGCAGGAGCAGGGGAGCTCTGGGCCCCTTGGCTGTTCTGCAAAAGCTGTTGGAAACGGATACAGGTTTCCCCCAATGCTGCCCAAAAGTGAAGTTGTCCCTGTTATAGCAGAGGCATTTGGGGGTTTCCTTCTGAGGGGTGGCTGACAACTTGAGTGAGGATGTGGGACCAGCAGGAGTTTCACCCGCACCAGGGGTTGGTCTCTGCTCCTATGGGCACATCTGTGGCAGGACTTTTTTCTCACCTGGGCTTTGCACCTTTGCAGAAGGGGTTGGTGCCCTTGTGCGGCTGTTTCACAGACCTGGGCATCTCTATCTGTGCAGGGAAAGGCTCCTTCCGTGTCCTAGTGCCTGAATCCAGGGATCTGGAGCAGAACTGGTGTCCGCACTTCTGCTTTCTGCCTTCCTCCGCATCTCGTGTTCGTGCGAGGGGGACCTCAACTGGGACGCTTCAGTGGGAGAGGCTGGTGGGCACCTTGCACAGGGCCCCTGTGCGGGGCTGCAAGTGCCAGGAAAGGGTCAAGGAAATGTGTCCTGCTYGGAGGAGCAGCCGAGGGCTCTGGAGCGGCGCTGGGGATGCCCGGCTCTGCATGGGGAGGTGTCGTGTTCAGCGCCCATGGTGTGGGAAGTGCCCGTGCCGGATGGCGGGCTTTACTGCTGGATCTGTGTCCTAGCCAGGGCTGGAGCATCTTCCCTGGCCCTGGGATGGTGGCAGTGGTGGCTCCGGGGAGCTGCTCCTTGCAGAARGCTTCCAGCTACAGGGAGAAGCCCCTGGGATGCAAGGGGGGCACGGGAGCGATGCTGCATCAAGAGCAGCCCCCCTGKGAGGGTCACATGGTGGCTTGGTGGCCGTCCCTGTCCCCACCTGGCCGTGGGGCTCCTCTCTGTGCTGTGTCCCTGCAGGGTGCCCGCGTGTGGATCCCCCACTGCACTGAGGTCTGGAGGGTGGCAGAAGTCACCAGGGGCTACAGGGAAGGGGACGACGTTCTCCACCTCCGCCTGGACGATGCCTCRGTAAGGCTGGAGCCGCGTGTCCCCTGGGCCTGCAAGAGCCCCGAGGTGGCCAGTGCCGCCCAGCTTGGTGCTCATCCCGCTCCGCRTCCCCGCAGGAGCTGGTCTACCCTGTGGGCTCCCAGCTGCCGCCTCTCTGCAACCCTGACGTCCTGTGCGGCGAGGACGACCTGGCGGCCCTCAGCTACCTGCACGAGCCGGCCGTGCTGCACTCGCTCCGCGTGCGCTTCCTGGAGGCCAACGCCATCTACACCTACTGCGGTGAGTCCCGCGGGCTGCGCCGGCACGCGCTGTGCTGCCCCGGAGCGGCACTGGGCTGGCACGTCACAGAATCACAGAGTGGTTAAGGCTGGAAGGGACCTCTAGACATCATCTAGTCCAACCCCCTGCACACACAGGGTCACTCAGAGCACGGGGCACAGGCTGCATCCAAACGGGTTGGGAAGATCTCCAGAGAAGGAGACTCCACAGCCTCTCTGGGCAGCCTGTGCCAGGGCTCGGGCACTCTCACTGTCAAGGAATTTTTCCTTAAGTTCCTGTGGAACTTTYGGTGCTTCAGTTTGTGGCCRTTTCCTCTAGTTCTATCGCTGTTCACAGCTGAAAAGAGGCCGCCCCCTCCTCCTCACTGCCTCCCTTGAGGTATTTATACACGCTGATCAGGTCCCCCCTCAGCCTCCTCTTCTCCAGGCTGGACAGGCCCAGCTCCCTCAGCCTTTGCTCACAGGGCAGATGTTCCAGGCCCCTGATCATCCTCATAGCCCTGCGCTGGACTCTCTCCCGCAGCTCCACATCCCTCTTGTCCTGGGGAGCCCAGAGCTGGACACAGTCTCCACGTGTGGCCTCACCAGGGCTGAGTAGAGGGGGATGATCACTTCCCTCGACCTGCTGGAGACGCTCTTCTTAATGCACCCCAGGATCCCATTGGCCTTCTTGGCCACCAGGGCACACTGCTGCCTCATGGTCAWCTTGTCATCCACCACGACRCCCAGGTCCCYCTCTGCGGGGCTGCTCTCCAGCAGGTCAACCCCTAATCTGTACTGGTATCAAGGGTTATTCTTCCTCAGTGCAGGACCCTGCACTTGCCCTGGTTGAACTTCATGAGATTTCCAACCACCCAGTCRTCCAGTCTGTCCAGGCCCCTCTGGACRTCACGTCCCTCTTCCTCTCACTCCACCAGGCATCATCCTTGTGGCCATCAACCCCTACAAGCAGCTGCCCATCTACGAGGAGGAGGTGATCTACGCCTACAGCGGCCGCGAGGTGGGCGACATGGACCCGCACATCTTCGCCCTGGCCGAGGAGGCCTACAAGCAGATGTCGCGGTGAGAGGCTCTCCCTGTGCCACTGTCCCCGCGGGCACCGATGAGAGGGACGGCAGCCACTGCCTGGGGTGCTGAACCCCACTTGGGAGCATTCTCTGAGGGTGGGAAGGGTGGGAGGAGCTCTGGTGTCTCCCTTTGGGGCCGTCCTGACTAAGGGCCTTCGTCCCGCAGGTACGGCAGGAACCAGTCCCTCATCATCAGCGGCGAGTCGGGCGCGGGCAAGACGGCGTCGGCCAAGTTCGCCATGCGCTACTTCACCACCGTCGGCGGCAGCCTGGGCGACTGCAGCGTGGAGGAGAAGGTGCTGGCCTCCAGCCCCGTCATGGAGGTGGGTCTGCTGGCCCCATGGCCAAAGCCACCTCTCCGTGGGGACAGCCGGGGCGCAAGGGGTGGCCCCTGCGTTGCTGAGCTCCTCATGGCCCTGGCTGAGGAGGCCCTTCCCTCCTGCAAATCTGGGCTTGGGAAGGTTTGGATGTGAGGCCTGTGTTCTCTTAAGCTGTGTGGGTATCTTGATCATTTGATGTCCATGGCCTTGTGTTGTGACGGGTCTGGTAGCCCCTGAGGGAGCTCCTGCCCCATCCYGAGGAAAGGGCCCTTGTCCCTGGGTATCCTGTGGCCTTATCCAGGCTCCCAGCRCTGCTGGGCTGATCCATGAAGGAAGGAGAGGCAGAAGACCTGACTCCTTCTGCTTTCACTGCAGGCTTTGTGGTGGTACCACAACTGTAAAGAGTGGTGGGAGTTGAACCTCTCTGCAGGGTTAACCTGACCCGCTTTGCTCCTCACCAGGCCTTTGGGAATGCGAAGACCACCAGGAACGACAACAGCAGTCGCTTTGGGAAGTACATAGAGATTGGCTTCAGCCAGACATACGTCACGGGGGCCACCATCAAAACCTACCTGCTGGAGAAGTCCCGTGTCACCTTCCAGGTGGGTCTGTGGGCACAGGGCTATGCAGGAGTCCCCAGAGCTTGGAGACCTGCTGAGGTCCCTGTGTCCTGGCACTCCCAGGAGAAGCTGGCCTGAGCTCTGTCCTCCTGAGGAGCAGCCCCAGGGTTATTGGAYTGAGCTGGGAAAGGGGACAATGCTCTGGGTTTGGAGGTTAGGGGACACCAGCCCTGCTGTGGGTGGGCAGGGTCCCTGTTTTCTTGGGCAGTGTGATGCCCTAGGGTGACCAGGCCACTCAAAGTTCTGTCCTTCCTGGTTTTTCCCTACAGGCAAAATCGGAGAGGAACTACCACATCTTCTACCAGCTCTGCGCATCAGCAGCCCTGCCGGAGCTCCAAGGCCTGGGACTCTGTGAGTGTCACCACGTCCCTCACAGTGGAGGTGGCTCTGGACCAGCCCTGCTGCTGCAGATGGGCACCTGGGTGCTTGGTGCAGGGTTGGGGCTAAAGCAGCTCAGTAGCACTGTGGGCCTGGTTCTGGAGCTGGGGTCTCGCCCCCAGGTGCAGCCGAGTCCTTCCACTACACGCGCCAGGGCCAGTGCACCCACGTGGAGGGCATCGACGACGCTGCTGCCCTGGACAGCACGCGACAGGCCTTCTCGCTCCTGGGTACCACCCTGCACCCGGGGGCACCCTTGGGTGGGGTGGGCTAGTCTCCGGGGCCGCTCACCCCCCACCCTCACCCCACTGCTGGCCCCCACACTGGGGGCTCTGGTGAAGAGCCTGGTTGTCCCTCATAGACTTGGGCCTCTCCCTGCTCTTCCAGATGTTCCCATCCCCTCCAGCTGTGCAACGTGCAGGGGCTAAAGCAGCAAGTGGGGAGGGTCCTGGGGGGGTCTGAGCAGGGTCCTGGGCCCGGTGGGCCCATCGGGTGGTGCCTGTGTCTGCAGGGGTCCCGGAGGCCGAGCAGCTGGAGCTCTTCCGCGTGCTGGCTGCCGTCCTGCACCTGGGCAACGTCGGGATCCGGGGCAGGGAGCGCCGTGGCGACGGCTGCTCGGTGGAGGTGGGTGACGGCTCCTGCCCTGCGCCCTGGCAGGGCACCAGGCCACATCCCTAGGGATGCCCCTGGACACCCTCGGCCGCCCTGGCTGTGGGAATACCTCCTGGGTGGTGGGGTTCAGCGTGGGCCACGTCACCGTCCCCTGGAGTGACGGGTCACTGTGTGCGCAGCCCACAGACAGAGCCCTGGGCCTGTTCTGCGCCCTGCTGGGCGTCGAGGCGGCGCCCGTGGCCCGTTGGCTCTGCCACCGCAAGCTGGTCGCCACCGGCGAGACCTACGTGAAGCCCCTGTCCAGGCAGCAGGCGCTYGACTCCCGCGACGCCCTGGCCAAGCACGTGTACGGGCAGGTCTTCAGGTGGATGGCAAGTAGGGTCAACCGTGCCCTGCGGTCCCCAGAGGGCCACCACACCTCCATTGGCATCCTGGACATCTATGGGTAAGAGGAGCTGTGCTCCAGCCCGCTCTCCTCCAGGCTGTATGGGAGAGCCTGGCTCCTTCTGAACTGGCCATGGCAGCCTGTCCTTGGGCAGGGACCTGTTCCCCCTGGTGCTATGTCACCTGGGTGGCTGTGCCACCCTCGGGGCACCTTCCTTGCCCTTGTGGAGCTCTAGGCTGGATGGGGTGGTTGTGCCCTATGGCTGCCTCAAGTCAGTCCTCTCCGTCTCTCAGGTTTGAGATGTTTGAGCTCAACAGCTTTGAGCAGTTTTGCATCAACTATGCCAAYGAGAAGCTGCAGCAGCTCTTCAACCTGGTAGGTGGCACAAAGATGTCCTTGCTCCCCACAGCTACTGAGGGGGCCCTGCACATCCCAGCCCCACTGTTGCCTTWGTTTCTGTGCCTTGGGAACACAGCAAGTCATTGAAGTCCCACCACTGTAGATGTGGCTCTGAAAGGCCATGAACATGTTGAGATGCCCTCTCCTTTTTCTGGGCAGTGCTTGTCAAGAAGGGCTCCTGTCTGCCCTCTTGTCCAGGAGAAGGGCAGCCTGTGTTTGGAGGTTGGTCACTTCTGCCCCTTCCAGCTCCATCCTCTGCTCTTTTTCTCCAGCACGTCTTCAAGCTGGAGCAGGAAGAGTATGTGGCYGAGGAGATCCCTTGGGTATTTGTTGACTTCTGTGACAACCAGCCATGCATTGAGCTCATCGAGGGCCGCCTGGGCATCCTGGACCTGCTCAATGAGGAGTGCAAGGTGGGCAAGGGCTGTTGGCAGCRTGAGGCTGTGGCCACCAGAGCCCCTGGTGCCCTTCTGATGCAGCTGCCCTTTCAGATGCCCCAAGGCAGTGATGGGAGTTGGGCCCAGAAGCTTTACCAGACTCATCTGGGCAGCTCCCACTTCCAGAAGCCCAAGAGACCCATGGATGCCTTTATTGTCTGCCACTTTGCTGGCAAGGTAGGAAGAACCATRGTGGATATGGTGGATCCTGGCCCAGGATAGTGACCTGTGTCTGAGCACCTCCCAGGCTATGGAAGCAGATCCTGCTGGTAGCCCTGGAGCAGGTCTCATCTGCAGCCCTTTGAGGGCCCTGACCAGGCTCATGTTGGTGCCGGCTCTGTCCCCTGCTAGGTGGAGTATCAGTGCCACGGGTTTGTGGAGAAGAACAGGGACACCGTCCCTGAGGAGCTGGTGGGGCTGCTGCGAGCCAGCAAGGTGAGAGCGGTGCCWGCAACAGCCCGCGTGGGACGAGGTCGGATCCCTCTGTGGTCCTGAGGAGCAGGGTTGATGGCAAGAGCTCCACGTGGGGAGGTCTCAAGTGCTCCCAGGAAGGGCACCCAGGGCTTGCACTGGGTATCAGGGAGGTGGGAACAGTGCCCTGGAGCAGAGGGCCACGCACAGGGCTGGCACCGGCGGCTGGGTTGGGGCTGCGTGTGCCCGGCTCTGACTCGGCTGTGCCGCAGTGCCCGCTGCTCGCCGAGCTCCTCCTGGAGGACGCCGCTGGCCCCGTGTCCCTGCAGCCCCGCAGGTCYGGCGGGGCCAGGCCGCCCGCTCGCCCCGGCCGCCGCTCGCTGCCTGCCAGCAGCAAGAGCAAGAAGTCGGTTGCCAGCCAGGTACGGCCCTGTGGGCCTGACCACCGTCCCCAAGGCGGGGAGGGGACAGGGGACATGGATGCCCAGGGATGTGGTGGCCATGAGGGGACTTTGGGGGCTCACGAGGCAGCTCGGGAGCCTCTTGACCAGCCCAGGGCTGCTGGGGAAGAGCAGCTCCGTTCTGCTCCGTGCRGTCACTGCTCCATGCAGTCACTGCTTGGGATGCAGGAGCCCAGGACACATCTGCAGGTCCTGACCACGCTYGTGTTGTCCTCGCAGTTCAAAGCGTCCCTGCACAAGCTCATGGGCACGCTGGGCAGCACCACGCCGCACTACGTCCGCTGCATCAAGCCCAACGACAGCAAGCAGCCCTTCGTGTGAGTGCCCATCTGGGGACGCAGCGGGTGTCACCKTCACCCTTGTGCTGTCCTACCTGGCCAGCTGGGCGCTGGGCTCTCCCTGCCTGTCCCCACGTGTCCCTCTTGGCCCTAGGTTTGACTCRAGGCGGGCAGTGGAGCAGCTCCGAGCCTGCGGGGTGCTGGAGACCATCAGGATCAGYGCCTCGGGCTATCCCTCCAGGTACCCCAAATCCCGGCAGCTCCCGGTGTTCCCGCTGCCTGTGACACCACTGACCCCTGCTCTGTCCCTGCAGGTGGACCTACCAGGAGTTCTTCGACAGGTACCGCGCGCTGCTGAGCAGGGAGGAGCTGGAGGGCACTGATGCCAAGCAGATCTGCGACCAGGCCCTGCAGAGGCTGCTGCAGGTGAGAGCCCTCCCTGCAAGGGACCTGGGCACCCCTGCTCCATGCTCTGCCTCTTTCCTCTGGGCACCTGCCAGCACCACTAGGAATGCGTGTGCTGGGAAACTGGGATGCTCCAGCCTCAGGGAGGCCGAGCTGTGGTGTCGGGGACAGTGGCTGCGCTGTCCCTTACCCTGGTCCCCCTCCTCGCTCGCCCGCAGGACCCCAGCAAGTACCGGTGCGGCAAGAGCAAGGTGTTTCTGCGGGCGGGCCAGGTGGCCTACCTGGAGGGGCTGCGCTGGCGGCGGCTGCGCGACGCCTGCGTCCTGCTGCAGCGGCACCTGCGCGGCTGGCTGGCGCGGCGGCGCGCGGGGCGGGCGCGCGCTGCAGTCCTGCGCCTGCAGCGCTGCGCCCGGGGCCTGCTGGCCCGCAGGTGAGAGGGGGGCACACGGGGAATCCATGCAACGAGCCGCTCTCGGCTGGCTCTGCATGTTCCCGCCGTACGAGCCGGGCTCTGCCCTCCTGCAGGCTCGCGCAGCGGCTGCGCAGGACGCGGGCTGCCCTGGTGCTGCAGAAGAGCATGCGCATGGCCCTGGCACGGCGCCGCTACCTCCGCCTGCGCCGGGCTGCCCTCACCATCCAGGCTTTTGCCCGCGGCATGTTTGCCCGGCGCCTCTGCCAGCAGGTAGGAGCCTGGTGGCACAGCAGGAGCGAGGGGCTTTGCCTGCACGGGGGCAAGCTGGGCCTTGAGGTGGCGGTGGCATAGCCCTGGCATGCTCCTTCCCTGCTGCACGGCAGGCCAGGGATGTTTTGCACCCTGCCGTGCTGGGGTGAGCCGGGAGTGCCTTGCTGTCCCCTTGTACTGCTCTCCTATCCTTGCTGTCACCCATCTGCAAYGCTGTCACCTCCCTGGGACATGCTGTGCATCCTCACCAGGCTCTCCCTTGCCCGCTGGAAGCGCAATGTGGTGGGCACAGGCACCCCATCACCCCCGGGTGCTGACACAACCTCACCCTGAGCATCCCCAGCTGCGCTGCCCTGGGGCCCGTCCCCTTGCCCCCAGCCCGTGTCTCCCTCCGCAGCTGGTGCGGCAGCGCAAGGCCGTGGTGCTGCAGGCGGCGGTGCGCGGCTGGCTGGCCCGCGGGCGCTACGCCCGCCTGCGCGCGGCCACCCTCTACCTGCAGTGCTGCTGGCGGCGGGCGCGGGCGCGCCGCGAGCTGCGGCGCCTGCGCGCCGAGGCGCGCTCCGTCGAGCGCTACAAGCAGCTGCACCGGGGCATGGAGATCAAGGTGATGCAGCTGCAGTGCAGGCTGGATGAGCAGGTGGGTGCCACGGGGCGGGGCGGCAGCCCCAGGGCGCTGCTTCAAGTCTCCTCTACCTCTGCATCCCAAATTCCTGGTGGTAACTGGAATGGGAGCATCCAAGGTCTCTGGTCCCCTCCTGGCCATGGGGTGGGAGCTGGCACTGCAGGCATGTGTCACCAGGCAGAAGCTTCCTAACTAGTATTATTTCCTTAATGCTTCCCTAAGGCTCCATGTGTCCCTAGGCCGGTTTCCCTTTCAGTTGCTCCCTTGGGCCCATCTTTGTAGTGGGATGCTGTGCAGCCAGGAATGGCTCTGTCCTGGCATGCCGTGTTCTCCTGCCAAGCTCTATGCTGGCAGCATCCATCATCTCCATATGCACCAGTGTCTCTCCCTGCTCTGTGTACTGGAGTGGCAGCATGGGAGTCTAATCCTGGCTCTGTGTGTTGGGAAAGCAGATCTGGAAAAGCTGGTGCTCCAGATGGTGGGAAGGGGGCTGTGAAGCCAGAGCTGGTCTGGTGTGTGGCATCTCCTAGGCTGGTGCAACACGGAGGGGAGCTCCATATTAGGTGGCAAAACTCGGGGGTCCCCACAGCTCAAATAGGGGGAGAATGAAGTCCCCGGCCTCCTGGGTTTGCTGCAGAAGGCCCTGGGTGGGGACGCCCGTGCCCAGGCTCGGCTCTGCCCGCAGGCGCAGGAGAAGCAGCGCCTGTCGGAGCAGCTCTCGGCGCTCACGGCCGCGCACGCCCGGGAGGTGCAGGGGCTGCGCGCCGAGATGCGGCGGCTGCGGGAGGAGGCGGTCGGCGACGCGCGTGTCCAGTGCCTGCAGGAGCGGCTGGCCCAGCTGGAGCGGCACAGCGCCGAGAGCAGCCTGGCCTGCGAGCTGCGGGAGCTCAAACAGGTCCGGTGCCTCGGGAGAAGCTCTGGGATGCCMCCTTGTTCCTGAGGGCAGCCCTGGCCTACCAAGCTTGGCTCTTAGCCCTGGACAAAGCCTGGATCCTAGATGTGCCCATCCAGGGCTGCTCCAGGATGTCCCTGGAAGGACCAGGCTGAGGAGCAGGTCCCAGGCAAGGGTGGCAGCYGGGGCTGGCCCCACATGAGGCTCTGGCTCAATCTGCTCTTTGGTTCTTCGTGCAGCGCTTAGCGGAGGTGGAGGCTGTGAAGCTGCACCTGGGTGAGGAGAGGGATGCCCTGATCCAGCGCACGTTGGAGCAGTCGCAGGATCTCGAAGGTAAAAGGTCCCCTCTGCCCATGGGGAATAGCAGGGGATGAGCTGGTCCTCCAGGCTCAGCCTCGAGTCCTGAAGCCCCCCTGGTGGGTGTTGGGAGCCCCCCAATCCTGAGCCCTTCCCGTGTGTCCGTGCYGCAGAGCAGCACCGGCGCGCGGCCAGGGAGAGCCGGGGGCTGCTGCAGGAGCTGGAGGAGGAGCGCGCCCGGTACCAGAGCCTYGTGAAGGAGTACGCCCGCCTGGAGCAGAGCTACGAGAACCTGCGCGATGAGGTCGCCTTCCACAAGGTGAGTACTGCAGCCGCCCGGGGAACCAAACTTCATAGAATCACAGAATRTTYAAGGTTGGAAGGGACCTCTASAGATCATCTAGTCCAACCTTCCTGCTCAAGCAGGCACAKCCAGAGCATGTGGCACWGGGYGGYATCCAGGCTGGTTCTGAAGACCTCCAGAGAAGGAGCCTCCACAACCTCCCTGGGCAGCCTGTTCCACTGCTCTGTCACCCTCACAGTGAAGAAGTTCCTCCTCATCTGGAGATGGAATCTGCTGTGTTTCAGCTTATGCCCACTATCCCTTGTCCTATTGCTGGCCCAGATAGGACAACCAACCTTCCCAAAATTGTCTTCCCTCCTGCTCTTGACCCTCAGGATGGGAGTCTGCCTCTTGTCTACGGATGCTGAGCAGGGTTATGGGAGGTGGTGGGCCAGCCTTGTGCTTCTCTCCCTGYGCAGCAAAGCACCTTCAGGCGCTCCCCTTCATCCGAGAGCTTCCTGGGCTCCGAGAGCAGCTGCGTGTCCTCCATGTCCACGGCCCCATCGCGGGAGGACTCTGATCTGCAGGCTGAGGCGAGTCGYGACACCGGCGCCTGTGGAGGTGGCCAGTCCCTTGTGTGTCCTCCTGTGGAGGAAAGATGCCCCTCGGTGCCCTAGCATTTGCTGGGGGGGCTCCTGGGCCAAACTGTCCCCTTCGCTGTGGCCAGGGAGCGGAGGAGCCGGGGCTGGAGGGTCAGCAGCCCCAGGTGGGCAGCGGCGAAGCGGTGCCAAGCCAGCACCCCTTCGAGAAGGCCTATCTGCTGCTCCTGGGGCAGCTCAACRCCGTCAACGAGGAGCTGGCCCGCACCCGCGAGGAGCTGCGCCAGGCCCGGGCGCGCGGCGAGCCCGAGGAGAAGAAGCCGCTGGATTTCCTCAAGCGCAGGGTGAGCTGCGGGCCCCGCCGCRGGCAGGGCTGGCCCCGGCTCCTCTCACTTGTCCTCTTCTCTCGCAGAACATCGCAGAGGTGCTGGGGCTGGCGAGGAGCCCTGAGAAGGAGGCTGCGGGCGGTGACTTGAAGCAGGCGTATGACGCAGTGCAGGTTGCCAATAGGTGAGCGCTGGTGGGGCTTCTCTGTGGAGACCCTCTAGTTGAGGTTGGGTTGTACCTGGCGTGTGGGATGTGAGCATGGTCCTGGAGCTGGGCTGGGTGGGATGCCAGGTAGGCAGGGACGGGCTCTCCAGGATGGGATGCCAGGTAGGCAGGGACGGGCTCTCCAGGATGGGCAAGGGATGGCATTCCATGCGTTTGCCAGCTCTTGGGTGAGGTGGCTCTCCCACCCTCCTTGAGTCTTCAGCCTCATTCCTGGGCACTGGGAAGCTGTTCCACCCCTGAAGGTGGGAATGTGCCACCCCATGGCAGGCTGCTGAGCCAGGGTGGCTCCCAGGTGGCTCCTTCTCTGGCTGGAGAAGCTGACCACCACCAGCCCACCATGGTCACCATGCCATGGGGGCATGTTCCAACCTGATACCGAAGCCTGCATGAACCTTGTGCTCCGAGCTCTGTGTAAGAAAATGTGAGATGGGAGGAACTTCCCTAGGTGATCGGTTAAGTCTGTGTTGCCTCCCCGTGGTGCATGGGCAGGGAAGAACCACCAGCTCAGAGGAACAAATGCTGCCTCAGGGCTGGCTGTGCTTCCTCCCTACTGCCTCTTCATCAGCTGGCGTGTTGCTACCTACGGTGCATGGGCACCGAGTGACGGCTCGGCCCGGCGCACAGGGGAAACTGAGGCACAGCCTGTGCCCCGCAGGCTGCTGGTGAGCCAGCTGCAGGAGGAGAAGCAGCAGCACGAGGAGGACGTGGAAGGGCTGCAGCTGGACATCAGCTCCCTCAAGCAGCTGAACCAGCAGCAGGCAGCCCTCATCCAGGAGCTGCAGCGGCAGCGGGGCCGCGAGGGGCTGCAGCACCACGTGGAGCGGCTGGAGGAGGAGAACTGCGTAAGSAGGGCGACACGGGACCCGGCCGAGCGCTGGGGGGGCTCCCCGCAGCAGAGCCTGCGGGGTGCCGGGGCTGGGGGAGGCTGCCTGAGCCTCGGGCCTTGCCCCCCTGCCCAGGAGCTGGCCCAGAAGCTGGAGAAGGAGGAGAAGGCCACGCTGAAGCTGCAGAAGCAGCTGCGAGCCTACGCGAGGCAGATCCAGGAGCTCGTGGGCAAGTAGCYGCTCGTGCCGAGCTGCTACCCCCTTGCAGAGCGGGGTGCTGAGGAGCTCTGCGTGGSGCTGGGAGGATGGGGCCTTTCTGCTGCTTGGCTGGGGCTCGTGTCACCTTCTGTCCCTTAATGGGAGCACCCAGGTGGTGGCCTTTGCTGTCCTGCTCTTGTATCACACAGGGTTTGGGATCCCCTTTTCCACCATGGCTGGAGGTGGTGAGCCTTGGTGTGGCCCCCAGCCACGCTGAAGTCCCTTGGGAGGGACAGCTGGAGCTGGTGGCTGCTCCTGGCTTCCCTCTCCGAGGCGGGATCCAGAGCTGGTCCCCTGGCAGGACTTGACCCGTGCTCCTCTCCCCAGCGAGGAAAGAGGCCGCCTGGCCGGCGCAGGAGCCAGCAGTCTCCCCCATGGCCTCGTCCCCAGCTGGGCAGCCCCAGGCCATGCTGGCATGGAGAGCGGGGGACGAAGGGCGCATCGTCAAGGCCCTCATCACAGGTAGGATCTAGAGCGGGATGGATTCTCCATCCATACCTTGGTCTTCGATAGCGCCTTGGATACCAACAGGTCTCTCTCCTTCAGACTACAGCGCGCAGAGCAGCCCCGGGGCGCTGCCGGACCTGCCAGCCTATGTCCTCTTCATGTGCTACCGGCACGCGGACCACTGCCGTGACGAGCCGCGGGCCCGCTCGCTCCTCGATGCCGCTGTCGGYGCCATCAAGAGAGTCATGAAGGTGCTGGGCCTCGCCGGGCAGAGGGTGGACTTGTCCCTGGGGCCATCATGGGGTGGGAGGGCCCCCTGGGGTGTCCTGGGGTGCTGCTGGGGTGTCCTGGGGTGCCACCAGGCTCTTGCTGGAAGGTCTGACTGGACAATGCTGGTCCCCAAGTGAGATCACAGGATGTTCAAGGTTGGAAGGGACCTCTAGAGATCGTCTAGTCCAACCTTCCCACTCAAGCAGGGACACCCAGAGCATGTGGCACAGGGTGGCATCCAGGCTGGTTTTGAAGACCTCCAGTGAAGGAGACTCCCCAGCCTCCCTGGGCAGCCTGTGCCAGGGCTCGGGCACCCTCACAGTGCAGAAGTTCCTCCTCACATGGAGATGGAACTGTCTATSTTTCAGYTTATGCCCATTTCCTCATGTCCTATCGCTRGCCACCAATGAAAAGAGCTTGTCCCCTTCTTCCCTGCATTCTCTCTTCCTGAACTTATACGTGTTAATCAGATCCCCTCTCAGCCTAAGCCTTRAGGCACCTCCTGGTGCCAGGAGATATCCTGGTGTGGGACAGAGGATGCCCCTCACTGGATTCAGGGCCCCCCTCACCACGCTGCAGTAGCAGGGGCTCACAGGTGGTGGGGGACCTGCTGCTCCTGCTAGCAGAGCCCCACTCACCCTGTGCCCGGCCCTGGCCRTGCCCTCCCGCAGAAGCAGGGCGAAGATGTGGCCGCGCTGGCCCTGTGGCTTGCCAACACCTCCCGGCTCCTGAACTGCCTGCGCCAGTACGGCAGCGACGAGGTGCGTTGCGATGTCCCCCGGGGCAGGGCGGGGAGCTGGGTGGGAACGGGGGACCGGCCTAGCCTGGATCTGCTGGGTTTCGGGCTCCATCCTCTGGAGCTGCAACCTGGGCACATGCTGGGCTGAGCCTGCCCCTTGCGTGGACCCTGGAGGTTCTGGTGGTCTGCGGTGGGCGCCCAGTGGCTTCCCTGACCGCCCTGYGCCCTGCAGAGCTACCGGCAGGAGAACACAGCGCGGCAGGACRAGCACCGGCTGCGCCACGTGGACCCGCAGGGCGCCTGCCGCAGCCTGGGCGCCCTGGCCATCCAGCTCTACCAGCAGCTCATCGAGGCGGCCCAGAAAGGCATCAAGCCCATGATCGGTAGGGCTGGGCTGGGTGCTCTGTGGGGTGGGAGCTGGCACCAGCTGCCCCTTCTGCAGCTACCTGGCTTATACCGAGAGGGACGAGGGTGGCTCTGGGGTGAACTGTGCAGGGTGCTGTGGGCTGAGGTGGTCCTTCCATSGCAAACACCCATGGGATGGCTTGGAGGAAGGATCCCTTCACAGAATYGCAGAATGTTCAAGGTTGGAAGGGACCTCTAGAGATCATCTAGTCCAACCTTTCCGATCAAGCAGGGACACCTAGAGCATGTGGCACAGGGTGGCATCCAGGTGGGTTTTGAAGACCTCCAGCGAAGGAGACTCCACAACCTCCCTGGGCAGCCTGTGCCAGGGCTCGGGCACCCTCACAGGTGAGCATCCCTTGGGGTGCTCAGCCTCATCATGCCCAGCCCCACCACCTCCCAACTCGGGCTGTTCCCTAGGGCTGGGGCACCTCTGCTGCCACCAGTCCTGCAGAGCTGAGGTGCTGGCTGTGCCCACCCGGCCACCCAGCATCTCCTCTGCACCCTGACCAAGCCGGGCCCTCCAGCAGAGCCAACCTGAGCTTTCTCTGCCCTACCAGTTGCCGCGATGCTGGAAAGCGAGACCATCCAGGGCTTGGCCTCTGCTCGCCCGCTGGGCTCCCGCCGGCCCTCGGCCCCCGTGGGCCACCCGCTGCCCGAGCTGCTGCGGCAGCTGGGCTCGCTGCATGACCTGCTGAGCCGCTACGGGCTGCCCGTCACCCTGGGCCACCAGGCCCTTCGCCAGCTCCTCTTCTTCATCAGCGGCACCACCCTCAACTACCTGCTGCTGCGCAAGGACGCCTGCTCCTGGACCCGCGGCATCCAGCTCCGGTGCGGTGGGAGGCCGGGATGGGAGGGTGCAGGGTAGTGCATGGGCACCCTGGGGTGCATGGGGGCCGTGTCCCCACGGCGTTGTTCTGCTCTGCAGGTACAACATCAGCCAGCTGGAGCAGTGGCTGCGGGCGCAGGGGCTGCACCAGAGCGGCGCCCGCCAGGAGCTCGAGCCGCTCGTGCAGGCTGCCCAGCTGCTGCAGGTGAAGAAGGCCACCGAGGAGGACGCCGGGGCCATCTGCAGCCTCTGCACCGTGCTGTCCCCGCAGCAGGTACCTGCAGGTCCCCTGCCCTGCATGAGGGGGGCCCTGGAGTCCTCAAGGTGGCCCGGGCATTAGCTCACGGTCCCCTCCGTCTCCTGCAGGTTGTGAGGATCCTACGGGCTTACACGCCTGCCGCGGGGCTGGAGGAGCGCGTGAGCCCCAGCTTGATCAGCAGCGTGGAGGTGAGTGTGGCGGYGCGGGTCCGGCACCCTTGGGTGCTGCGCCCGGCAGGGCACCCTGCAGCAGCGCCGCTCCCCTGCAGAAGCGCCTACAGGGCCGGAGCCCCGAGGGGCCCAGCCAGCTCTTCGTGGACGTGGGTCACATCTTCCCCGTGCACCTGCCCTTCTCCGCCTCTTCCGTGCACCTGGATGAGCTCCGTGTCCCCGAGAGCCTGGGCCTGCCCTCGCTCCGCGTGTGAGCCGCCCTGCCGCCAGCCTCGGCCCCTCTGCAAACCAGGAGCAGCTGGGGGTGGCACTTGTGTCCCCTTGCTCTGGGAAGTGATTTATTTACCGGAACGCGTGTGCACGGGTCGTGGCACAGCCAGGGATGCTCCCGAGCTGAAGGCTTCAGCCACGTGTTTTAATGCTTTGCAGTCAATAAAAGTCTTTGCAGATAACTTGGAGCCTCCCTCTGGCTTTGTGGGGTGCTTTGTGCTTAGGTGGGAGGGGGGCTGTTACCCTTGGGTGGTCAAGATGGGAGGCCCCAAGGTTGTTGGGTGTCATAGCTGGGTGACATAGGGGCTTAATGGGTGCAATTAGAGGTTGGTGCACAGAGGGTTGAGCTGTTGGGCTCCTAGAGAAGGTCTTAGCCTTGCATGAGACCCATGCACATCCAAGACCCTCCTGCCCCTCCAGCTGAGCTTGGGCAGAGCTTTAGGACTGGTCAGCACTGGTGTCACCTCACCCAGGAGAGCTTTGGCCTGGGAGACCTTTCCCTCCCTCCTTTCTTTCTTCCTTCCTTTCCCTCTTCCCTTCTTTCTCTTTCTTCCCTCCCTCTTCCCTTCTTTCTCTTTCTTCCCTCCCTCTTCCCTTCT